CTCCCCGGCAGGAGAGAGTACACTTAGAGAGTACAGAGAGATTGTCGAAGGCGAAGGAGTCTGTCACCAACCCCGTATAACATAGTCTCGGTATGTTACGATTAGTTGAATAGACTTTATCAATCACTGACACGAACACGCAGCACACCTCTTCTTATATACTACACACCCCCACGTGTATTGATACTGAGCACTTGCACGAAGTAGACCACGAGGACAGTGCACGCGTTTTGATATGACCTGTTTAGGTGTGTGTCTATGTGTGTGTACGCGTGTGTGTGTATGTATATATATATATATATATACACGTAGCACTCGAATCTTGTTTATCCGTGTGTGCACACTTTCGAAAAAAATAAAAAATAAAATATAAGATGAGACATCTTGATTTTGACCCCTTTCTTCGAACATCTGGATGGAAACGTAGTTTTTGGAAACGTCCGATAAAGAGAAGAGAGGTATACGCTTCGAAAGAAAGTAAAGAAGAAGAAAATATCGCATAAAAGGAAAATAATAACATCCAGCTGGAGTGAACGATGGATATGAGATGGGATACGTTACTCGAATCGATGCAACGCATAGGCCATTTAAAAGAAAATCCAAATAATTAACGCGACTCTTCGAAAGAGAAGCGCGAGTACCATCTTCGAGCTAGTAGCGCGAGACTCGTTTAATTTATCATCCAATTTGCGCCGAGATCGTATTACCGACTCGCTCGCTGCCAGACTCGTGCGTAACAATTCGAAATCAATCACCTGATTCGCTTCGAGTCTCTCGTCCCAACCCCTTTCATTTATCAATGTGACCGAATTAAATTACCCGCACCGGTGTAATGTGATCGATCGGGGAGGGAGGCCCAAGTAAACGGGGTATAAGGACGACCCGTTTCCACGAATTTCGAGAGATAGGATCGATCTTTCCACGTCGAGTCGTGGAGAGAGGAAAAAAGCACACCTGCTCGATTAACGCGGTAATCGCGTTACAACGGTGAAATCGGACGAAAAGCGGAATTCGAGTCGCGGTGCGAGGGGGAGGAATATAAATAACGTTAAACGGGAAATCGAGAATGGCCGTTCTCGTTCGAATAAATCCTGTGATTTTTGGCCCGTTCGCAGTTTCGCCAAAGATTTTTCGAGTATATTCCTTCCCGTTTCCGCGTTGAAATTTCCATTCGGCCCTTAAAACGTGGGAATGTAAATACGCGTGATGAAAAATGTAAACAAAAAATGAAGCACGGGGAACGTTAACAAACAAGATAAAATGGACGATTGCAAAACAGGGCGCATCCTCAACGCGCTAACACCGTCTGAATAAGAAACACTATGGTGTATGGAATACAGTTTAAAAACTGTTTTTCTTTTCTTCTTCTTCTTCTTCTTCTTCTTCTTTTAATAAAATTTCTCTTCTTCCATCTCTCGTTCGCTCTCTATTCTCTCTCCCTCTCTCTTTCAAATATTCTTCCTATCGATATTCCTATCTTTCATAGGGAAAGATCTCGAATCACTCTCTAATAAATTTGGAAAATTATATTTTTTGATCTCTAACGCGTCTATCCGTGTTAATCTTATCTGCAAATCCTATCGCGTTTTATTATTCATCTCCGCGTTTTCATTTCATTCGCGAAAACTCGTCGTCGCGAAATTTACTTTATTTTATTGGACGTGGAATTCCATATTCCATCATCCTCTTCTTTTTTTTTTTTTTTTTTTTGGTATATCTCTGTAAAAGAGGTACTCGAGCATCTGGATATTAACCTCTTTGGCATTTTTCAGATTTATCGTTCGTGTATACATCGCAACATATTTTAACATGTTTGCGGATCGTTTTAAAAATATTCCATGATCAATGTAATTGCTCGTATTTGTACGTGTATATAAAAAAAAAGCACCTTGAAATTGAGTATCAAAATTGACTATAACCAAGTTGTTTGCAAGATTAAATTAAAATTAAAATTCAATTGTCACATATTTCGAGAAGCATACCGATAAAAACTGATTAAACTGAACCTGAAACAAGGAAACGCTTAACCATCTTCTATCGCGATATCTCCTCCGATCGAACTCGGCCACTTTCGACAAGTTTCCAAAACCAGCGAAACCGATGGCCATCTGCTACGATTCGACCGCGAGATTGGCCGTGCATCGCGAATCGACCAATCCTGCAAAACTTTACAACTTGTTCAACGAACGGTTGCGCTATTTCTCATGCATCCAGCGAACGGATCCACGGTTCGAATGTAAAAATATCGAAAAAAAAGACACGAGCGAATTCGAAAATGAATAGAACCATCCATCCTTTCTCCCATTTACCGTCCATTAATTCGCTAAAAATCGTCGCTTTGGGAGTAACAATTTAAAAAAAAAGGAAGAAATATAAATTGAATCGTCCGCCATTCGATCACTTCCAATATCTCCTCGTACATCAACTTTATCGGCTCATACTTCTTCCGCGTCCATATTTTTTTCTTTCCGTGACTTTTTCTTTTTTTTCCTTTTTATTGGGGAAAAGAAAAACGAGAGACGTTGGATTAGATCGGCAAAGTTCGCTCGGGCGAAGAAACACGATAGAGACGACACGAGTTCAAAAGAGGAGAAAGAAGAGAAACGACATGGAAACGACGGGTGGATGATTCGATAGTTGAAAAGTTTATTTCTCTTACATCCACCATGCCTTGCCAAATACGATATATTTCAAACTTCGTATTAAATCGTCCCCCGCGCGCTTTTTAATATTTATCGACATTTCGCGATTGCGCATCACGGCGCATAATTCTACAAGAATTACGAGTTCAATTCAATCGTGGAAAAATTGGAAATTTTTTAAAACACTCTCGTATAAAAAGTAGTACCGATTCTGGGACGGGGGAAGCGGTTCAACATCTAATTAGCATGTCGCGAAATTTTCCAACGTCGATACGATTTATCTCTTCTTTTTTCCACTCGATTGAACCTGGACGGGGGGGGAGAAATTTCTCTCAGTCGGCTCGATCGAGTACAGCACTCCCTCGTAGATCACGTTTCGACCACATTACCCTTACCGGTTAATTAAGGGAGGTCTTTCCGCGTTTTAATTACATTTCTCCATTACTCGCCGATAAGAATTTTTTTTTTTTTTTTTTTTTACACCCTTCCGTGTATCGTGACGAACGTCGCAGTGGAATAATAAATTCGTCGATAAACCGGGACAACGATTTTAATTAAATTCCATTATGGATATTTGTACATACGGATTAGAATTCGACTCGATAATTTGCATATTCGTATAACGTCTTATTTTATATCGACATCGAAGAAAATAATTGAATTTAAAAGAGGAAAGACCCTCGTTTAACGAAACGATTTGATCGATGCCTATTTTCAAACAGAAAAAAAATATAAAAGAGCCGATCTTTGATATCGTTCGTATAAATTAAAATTATTATCTCTTCTTTCTATTAGAGAAAATTTTAAAATTCGAAAGATGGAACAAAATTTGCTTTTCAAGAGCAGTTTTAAAACACGATTCTTTTTTTTCAAATTTTAAAAAAGGCATCGAATCAATTTCCAAACTCGACGAACTTTCCATTCCTCCACTCTGTCCCCAATTTCTAAATTCCAACGATTCACGATCCAGTGCAACGTGTTCCTCGAATCATCGATCCCCCCGTTAATTAACTAATTTCCCCAAAGTCGAGCCGAAGCCGAGAGGTTCGTGCAAAGACGCGGAGATACGTGGATCGACGAGATAGAACTTGGGAGACGTTTCTCTCTCTCGTGAACGGATACACACAGGTATCGTGGCGGGATATATAATCGTGCTTTTAATCGAACACGGCATTGTCCGGAAATAAGCGGTAAAGTCAACGACGACCGAGGAGAGGAGGAGGAGGAGGAGAGGGAGGGAAGAAGGGGGATGCTCTCGATCGAAATTCAACGCGGTATGCGGTATTGTAACCACGAAAATGGCGAGAGGCGAGCTTCGTGACGTTGCGTTTCGTACGATTTAACACCTATAGGCCAGATTTTCAATTGTCTCCGCCTCGCTCTCGGCTATAAATTCAATCACGTGGCATCCACCAGTCTCCGCGTAGAAGGGAAAGGGAGAAGCGTATAACGCTGCTGCCATTCCGCTTCCAGGATGAATATTTTCATATACCTCGAGCGTGTATATACACCTCTTCTTCTTTCAAAGAAAGAATCAATTTCTGAGACGATCAATTGAGCGAGAAATCTGAGAATATCATTCTTTTATACCATCAATTTTGATAAATGGAAATTATCCAATAAAATTTTCAAACTCTAAAGGAAATGTCGAATCGTTCGATATTTGCGTTCCAATTATGTTATTAAATGCATAATCGGCTGATTAATCTATTCAGAGCGAAAGAAACGCTGAATAGATTATCTTCAGAGAAGATTCGTGTCTCTAATATAACAATAAATTGGGGGAAAATAACGAGGAGAATTCTTGATAAAAAAAAAAAAAAAAAGAAAAAAAGAAAAAAGAGACAAATTGTGACCGGATCGGGAGATGGAAGTTGACCTAGATACTTTTAGTTTCGTTGATTCCCCAGGGCGACGAGAGAGACGAATCTATAAGAAAAAAAAAAAAAAAAAACTGAGGAGAATCGGGAAGAAGAAACAGGAAGGAAATACGATCCAGAGAGGTCAGGCCTCGAAAGAGTTCGACACTCGGATAAACGAAGAAAGTTTTGCGTTGACACGATAGCCGCCCCTCGAGATCAAAGAACCAACCAAACACCATTGGTTCTAAGGTGAATCTCGTATCGTTTCCGGATTAACTCTCTCTTCCATATTTTGAACTTTACTTACGCCAAGAAAGCGTCGAGAGACGCAAAGTTTCATTTTGAACTTGAAGAAGCGAAGAAACGATCTACGAGACGAGTATCGAAAAATGATGGAGAAAAATTCGATCGAAAAACGCGAGTTTGCAAGTTTAATTTTCCTCGAAGGAAATTTTTTAGATTCAAAGAAAGAGAGAGGGATGGACGTCACTGAGAGCGAAGAGTTTCCTTTGGATTTTAATCCAACGAGAGTAATCCTTGGATTATTGGTCGAAAGGAGGAAAAGAAAGAAAAGGGGGGTAATGGATCGAAATTAAAGGTGGAGGGTAAGCGCATTAGAGGGACGTCGAACGAGACTAATTCACTTACGAGACCGCTATTGAAACAAACTCGGCGGCAAATTCAGCGCGATGTTTCATCCGCGAAATCGACCGGTTACCCGATACATACACGATATTTGCGGTGGCAATTTTTTCATGGCCCACCACGCTTCGGCTCCGGCTATTGAGTTATTTGGTTTATGGGCACCGAAGCCATCGAAAATCGTTTCATTGTCGTCGTGCCGCTCTATCGGATTGCCTCTGGTTCGCGATTCATCCTCGCGCTTCTCCTCTCCCTCTCCCTCCCCTCCGCCGCAAAGGCGCGAGACTGCACCGAGAGCGTGCGCGCCGAGAGTGAACCGGAAACTTTTCTCCGTTGATCCATTGCGACCTTTAAAAAGAAGAGAGAAAGGTATGTCAGTAGCCATTCTTAACGAAAATAGATAGAATCAAAGACGATCCGTTACGAGTACACTCCCCTTCCAAGTTAAAAATATTCTCTCCCTAGAAAAAAATCGATGATAATTATTTATTTTCTTCTTGTTTTTTTATACGATACAATACGATTTGCGAATACAAGTTGGAAATACATTTCGATCATCTCGAGCATCTTGGCGATAACGCCAGACTGAACAGCGAGTATGTATGACGTAACAACGTTGGACTTACAGTTGGACGCATTTCAAGGGGAAAAGTGAGAAGAAAAACAGGAGGAAGTTGTTGCAATTCGATAAGCAAAAGGTTCAAAAGGGTGGAAATACGAGGATAAAAGTTGTTTTCAACAAAGTTTTTTCGAACAAACAACTTGGCGAGAGCAAGACTCGATCCGCACCTTTTTTTTTCGAGCAAAGGGGGCGAAAATTTGTCTAATTCCAACGAAAGGGGAAGGCCGTCTATATATATATACGATATACGATATACGTGCATGAAAGCCGATGAAGAGATATATGAAGAGCGTATAACTGACCGATAAAATAACAGGATTATGGAAAAACAGGCGATATGCGCGATATTATGCGCAAAATAATGTAACACGAGCCGAACGAGATGCAAGATAATTCGTTCTAATGCACGAAAAGCATTAACCGACACGACTGTTGCGTCATCGTTTGATATTTTTCCTTTTTTTTTTTTTCTTTTCGTTCCCTTTAAGCAACACCCTCATTCTCCTCGCTTCCACTATCTCTTCCAGTATCCACGACAAAAACTCCAACTCCTAAAAGCGTATCACCCTCTCTCTCTAACGACTAATTTATTATAATACTTATTCTGTCGCGTACATACGATATTCCTAACGATTTCTATGCAAAGTTTTTCAGGTAACATTCGCCAATCGCCTACTAAAAATATTTCACTAGGCTATCTCGAAAAATCGGGTTTTTCAACAGAGAAGAGAGAGAGAGAGAGAGAGAGAGAGAGAGAGCGAAAGAGAGAAAAATCTCGATATTTTCCAGGCTTTAGAGGGCAGAGGGAAAAAAATACAGGCACCTATTCTAATTTAACACCGGATTACGAGCAACTCGATCACGATCCAATCAATTCTTCTACCTGTACAACTCTGTACATACGCGCACCGAGCACGCCGGTGAAACCGGATCTTTCTTCCCCCCCTCCTTTACGACGAATATTTATTGAGAATTGTTTGTGATTACAGTACGTTTCCGGGGTGAGTACGAGCGGCGAGGCGAGCCGCGTGAGTTACAGCAGCGTGAGCCAGAGCAGCGACGGTGCCGGAAGCGTGCTGCCCAGCGGCGGGATGTGACGTCACACGGGGGCCCGGTCTGGGCCTCGACGAGAGCGCGCTATCCGTTTCCGTGACACGTGATTGTAGGCTCGCTTCTCGAGGAATCGTGTCGAGCGAACTTCCACTCGGAAATGCACATTCCAGATCTCCGAGTTCGGAGCCGAGGTGAACCAACATCGCCTCCTCCCTCCTGTGTGCATCTGCGCGTCATGTGAGCGTGAGTGTGTACGTGTGTGCTTCCGACTAGACGAATCGAGGATAAACGACGTGCTTCCGTTCTTCCTTATCGTCGAGCTTTTTAAAACACCGGTGACGAAAAGTGGACCACGAAGAAGCGTCACGCGCGAACCGGGACGCCCCAAACCGGGATACTTGTACCGGTTATTGTGTGCCCCTTTGCTAAATCCTTTTTCTTCTTCTTCTTCTTCTTCTTTTTATTGATAGAAATTTTTGTTAGATAGTTTTTTGTAATGTCGTGTTTATAAGAATTGATTGATCGAGAATTTGGTTATAAGTGAAGTGATGCTGAGATGAGAATTAAGAAAGAAAATTGTTAATTAAATTAATAATTGAAATTGGTTTTTGAAAAATTGATTTCATTCAGGGGCGCACAATGATCGGTGTAAATAGCCTGTTATTTCTTGTACATAGAGTAGTATTCGCGTTTTGTACATCCTATAACGAAGGATTTAGAGAAAATCGAAAGACGGTAAAAGGCCGTAAATCGTGCTCGGCCGATAGCTCGTTACCGTTTTTACGTTTCGAATACCTTCGAGATACTACTGTAGCCTTTTAGCGAGAAACCTTCGTACACGGAATCGTAAAACGATCTGGTGATGCGCGAACGAGAGTATCTATCCGAGTTATCCTTTACTTTCTTCTCCAACGAGCCAACGAATTGTGTCTAACCGTTTCGTTTCGATGCGATTACCGCTTTTCCGAGTCGAATTTCAAGAAAAGAAAAAAGAAAAGAAAAAAAAAAAGTCTACGAAAATACGTTCCTGTTCCTGCTTTCCTGTTGCACCTTTAAAAGACTGACGATCGGAATGTTCGGCAACACTGAACACGGAATTGGTTCTCTCTCTCTTCGAGTTTCCAGGAAACGGCGATCTCTCGTGTCGATGTATTGGTAGCCGGTTACACGAAACTGAAAACCATACGCAAAATTAAAATGATGCGGGAAAATAATACGTGTGTGTTCTTCGAGGAAAAAAAAATTACAATATCGAAGGAGCGTAATGTTCTTCCAGTCATCGTTAATTACGTACACGAGAGACGCAAAGAAAATCGTTACGATTCGCAAACGCATTCGCAGTAACACGCACAGTTTAGATGGAATGAAAGTTAAGGTAAAATTATCACAAATGCGATCGTATATTACTTACAAGCGGCAGAAAAAATATATTTGTCAAGTCGTCGTCGAACGAAACTTTGCGAAACGAAATCGATAGCAGAATCAATCTTTCTTTATTTGTAACAAGATTATATGATGTAGAATGAGTTGCGAACCGGGGCCGTTGTAACTTAATCGAAGAATAAAATAACAAAGTTGTAATTTGGATAATGAATTCGTTCACACTGATTGCCAATTTCTGAAAAAAAAAAAATAATTGGTTAGTTCAATTAAAGATATTAATTGATCAAATTATATTTATCATAAATATTGTTAATTTATATACTTCGAAATTGTTTTTCTAATATCAAGACCTATTTGAAAATTAAAAAATAATAAATGGAATTATTGTATCGGACAATCTTTATTCGATAGACAGATGTCAACTCGTTCTACTATCAATGACGGATATTTTTGCAAAATGATTATTTATTTTATCTATTTTATTTTAACATAAACATTCGTTGTTGTACATAAAACAATTATCGCGCAATTGTAAATATTAGGACACTGTAAAATTAACTTATGTGAAACGTATACATATATGTATGAGACATTGTAACAAAGTGTGTATCAATACGAATATATAGAAACGTTTCCTCGAATAAAAATACATCAATTCAATAATCCTATCTCGGTAAAAATTGCAAAAAAATTTGATTAAACATTTGGTGTTCATTGACAATTATGTTTTAGCTAACTATCAATTTTGCAT